ATCGCTATGAGGTTGGAGGCCGTCGCTGTTAGATTGGAGGCCCTCGCGATTAGGTTGGAGGCCATGGCTAAGTAGGTTGGAGGCCATGGCTATTAGGGTGGAGCGCTATGAGGTTGGAGGCCACCGCTATTGGGTTGGAGGCCATCGATCGCTATTAGGTTGGAGGCCATTGCCATTAGATTGGAGGCAATCGCCATTAGGTTGGAGGCCATGGCTACTGGGTTGGAGGCCATCACTATTGGGTTGGAGGCCAGCCATCGCCATTAGGTTGGAGGCCATTGCTATTGGTTTGGAGGCCATCGCCATTACTTATAGGTCTAGGAAGGAGGCTCCGGCCGCCCCCGGCCCCACGACGTCACATGTGAGGTCCGCCTTACTTGTACCTTTTGGACACAGATGGCCCAACACCAACTAGCTCGACCACCCCAGCATCAGCGACAACTACGACGTCGACGACGACCACCACGACCACCTCGATGACCACAACTACAAGCATGAGCACAACCACCACAGAAGCCACTAAATCAACCGAGAGCGTGCTTGAAGTTTCAACAACTGAGGAGGTGCCGACTCCAAGTAACTCCAGTGGACCTGGACTCACCATCCTTCTGGTGCTTTTGTGTGCTTGCTTTGCGCTTTGCTTTGCGTTTTGTGCTTTAGCTTCGCTATTTTGGCGGCGGGAAAGGAGGCTATTAGAGCTGAATGAGCCACAAGAGGTCGAGATCGGCGAGCTCGCACGGCACTGAGACTGCAAAGTACAGCAATTGGATTCAGCCTGATCAGCTTGCGAAAGGCTTTGCATTCGTTATGTTGAGTTTTGGTGAAGGTGGGATGAAGATGTTTCCTTCATGTGGCAGCAGCACAGTGGATCGACAACTCAAGACGTTTCAAAGGAAGACAACGATGGCCTTTGCAGCAGTTTTCGGGGAAGTTTGGTCATCTCAAGTGCAATGAGACCATCACTTGGTAGCAGAATTTGCTTGGTGAGAGCAGATCCGTGAGGGATCTTTTTTTGTGGAAGGGGTCATTGAGGATAACTCCCGGGAATTGATGCAAAAGGCCCGAATCTGGCTGAACAGAGTGAAGCAATCAAGCAACTTACTAGCGTCCTTGCTACTACTAGCGTCCTTGCAATTTGATCTCCTTGCATGTGGCCCCGCCCAAAAAATGCGCGGAAAAATGCAGCCAAGAATTGGAATTGTATGGGAACCAGCACTGGAGCACAGCCATGAGGATGGGTGTTGGAAGATGACCTGTTTTCCGTGAGTGATGGATGATTGGTCAAGGGTTCTTTGTCCACAGCCGCGAAAGCAAAATCTTGAGAACTGGAGGGGGTAGAAGCAGAGATTTGTCGCATTCAATTCAGAATCTTGACGAACAGTAGCTAGAAGCTACTAGTAACAAGGGCATCGCTACTAGCAACAATTTCTGGTTTGGCCGTCAGGTTTTCACACTTCCGCTGGATGTGAAAAGCGGCATGCTGGATGAAGACGATTTGATGCGGCGATTGTCGAAGATTCAGAGTTTGATGCCAGGCCAAATTCAGAATCCGTAGGTTCTACATGGGATGAGCATGAACCAAAACCTACATGTCCTTAAGCCACATGTTGCACCCACTTGACACCCTTGATACCGCCCCTCAGCGTTGGTTCCTTCAGTATATCAGCGTAGAATGGGTGAGCTCGACAGCAAAGAAAGGCAATCCAGGAGCTGCAGCTGCAGCATGGAAAATGTGTTTCTCATTGTGGCTCACTATGTTTCTTGTGTGGCCCAACACAAAACATCACAGATGTCATCCTTCTGGGAAAGAACTTTTGGGATGATGATGGTGGTGGTGGTGATGATGATGAGGAGGAGGAGGATCTGGGGTTCACTGCAAGTTGATGGCTTGCATGCTCACAAGTGGTCCACACTTCCCTCCGTGTTTGAGACCATTGCTACGATTGGGGACAGGCAGCCGGTTCTTGTTCGGGCAGATGGACAGTGGACCAGCTTGCTTTCTCAATGGCCACAGCCGCTTATCAGCATGACAGTGGATTTTCTCCATCACACTTAGAAATCCCATGTTCCAGAGCAGCAAGGTGGTGGACAGTGGAAATCATGGCTGTCCACTTCACTTGTAAGCGGACTGCTCGGACCTGTGTCCAAATGCTGCTTTGATGCCAGAAGGAAGAGCATGACACGACTCATTTGGCCCAAGGTTTGGCTTTCGGACAATGTCCTACACGCATGGAAGCACACGTTGGCCACTAGATGGCCCTGCTTGTGGCTGGATTTTATGCAAATCCGAGCACAGCAGGGCCGAGTTTGTCTCGTTCCCCGGCACCAATGCCTACCGAAGAAATGCTGGGCGTGTGGCGTACCATTTTGGCTCACGAACTCAAACGGTTGGCCAAACGCATGTGGCGGGCTATATCCACCAGACGAGGCCTATCGAGATCTCACGGCACAGCCCACCTAGCGTCCTTGCTCCTAGTAAGGCCAGGAGCCCCTAGTAGCTTCTTGTTACTAGTAGCTACTTGCTCCTAGTAGTACGGCCAGGAGCTACTAGTAGCATCTTTGCTCCTAGTAGTGCGCATGTCCATTTGCTCGGCCCGGTCTGGTTGCCCTTGCTTGAAGCCATGTGTGAAGACCAGGCGAGGATGGCCTCACGAGGCCTGTAGAGAAGGCCCCATCCAATGGCTGACAGGGATCCAAGCGCTGTGAAAGAAATGATGATGATGATGATGATGTATCATTATAATGTTTTCATTTTTTGCTTCGTGTATCTCAGGAAAGGTGCTGCAGCGGTGTGTGTTTTCTGCGCGGGTTCCAACGTCACGGGCCTCCTGGCAGATGTTGGTCACCTGACCAGTCTCGCTCATCAGTATGGCCACTTGGCGCAAACTTTCAGAAGACAGATGAAATCAGCCAACAATATTACTATCAAGCATATCAGCATATCCCCCTTGCTACCGACAATCTAAAATGGGTGTGGTCGACCACGTTTTTCCCCTTTTAATTGTTCATTTAGTATAGGGAAAATTGAAGGAGTCGTATGTAAAATGGATGTGTTCATGAAACCTTGGCTCAGCCAAATTACTACTTTGGCTACACAGACATGTTTGTGCCAACCTTTTGAGAGCTCAACCCAGTTTATATTGCAGCTAAACAGACATGTTGAAAAAATGAACGTTGCGACATAACATGACACAGCATTTGTTTCTCACTCGATTTGTTTGCCTACTGTTTTTGGTGTTTTGAAGGCTGCAAAATGGATTCCTAAGGTCTTGCTAAAAAGCATTAATAACTTCTATTGAGTTCGGGCAGCATCAAGGGGGACCCCACAAAGCCAGTTCCGTGACTTTTGGAACCCATTCAATCATGTTCGGTATTTTGTGTTTCTAGTAAAATTATCATTGTTTCAAAAATGACTTCATGCCATAACATTGCATAACAGTTGTTTTCTCAGTTGGTCTGTTTGCCTACTGTTTTTGTGTATTGAATCATTCGGCTTTCCTCACTCCTAAGAAGTTCAATGAGGATCTGAAAAAGAAAAATCCCACTCTTTAAGAGCCTTTACTTTTACTTCATTTATTTGCAAGTGGATCGCCACAGAGGTTGATCTAGTCATTTGAAAACATCGACGAAGGCTGGGCTCAAGAGGTCAGAAATCTTCTGACATGGGCAGTGAGAGAAGAATGGAAAGAATTGGGTCAACTGTGCCGGCCTGAAGGTTGTTTGCAGGATACTCAGGCTTCGGGTTTCGGATTCTGACCATTTCAAACCGCAGTTTCAGCAACTTCATCGCCACCAGACACGGAGGGTTCGGCAACATCCGTCCGGAATGGTGAAGGACACGGTCAGTCCACACGTCCGGCTCCACACTTCGGAATTAAACATAAACTCGAACTTGTCTAAAACTCCGCAACGAATCGATTTTAGTAAGTGTACTAGTTCAAATGCCTGTGGAACAAGAAGCTACGATCGGGGCTCCTGGAGCTACGAACGGAGCGGTCGGACGCTTCAAGTTGCGTCCACATCGTGTCGGATTTCCGCTCCAAGGTGCCTTGGCTTGTTGGGACTTTGCGGCCACAGCAGGACACCTGCGGCCCAATCTGAATCCACCCACCAGGAGCGCACGCGCCAACGCGGAGCACTACACCCCAAACGCTACAGTTAGCGCTTACGGAATGGTTCGTCCCATTTGCGGGCTCTACAGTCTATATCCTCTTCGGCATACCGTCTAAACATGTTAAACACTTGTTTCTTTTCTGTGTCCTTTTCTCTCTTGCGGGACCTCATTTGACTCGAAAGGCCTGATGCCGCAGTGGACGTGGCCTTCTTCTCGCCACACAAGTTCCTAGGTGGGTCATTGGTGGATCACTGTCCAGTACTAGGAGAAGCCTGGGGCTAAATGGCTGACAGGAAGTTTGCGTTTCTCACATCCCGAGGGGCAGGATTTCTTTTTGAACATTGAGAGACTTGCGCCAGGTGGTCCAGGGTCTGTTGGTTTGCTGGTTGCCAAGAAGAGGCATGGCGGCGTGTCACGTGTGTTTATTGCATAATCTAGAGCTCAGCAAGGCCAGGAGCTACTAGTAGCGTCCTTGCTCCTAGTAGAAATGCCCTTTGTTACTAGTAGCTTCTTGTTACTGGAAGCAAATAATCAAACATACCCCAGAGCATCACGAAGTTGGTTGAAAAAAGGGAAGCTCTTGAGAGGCTCTTGCGGAATAGCGTGCCCGCCGAGCCTGGTGGTGGGGTTGTCTTCTTTGTGGACTCAGAAGGATCCTGCAGATGTTCAGCATTGGATTTGCTGAGCAGTCAATATGCACCGTTGCATAGCCCATGTGTGAAGATGGTTGTACAATTTTGGCGTATTACTTCAGCTCACAGCTGGGCATCATATTTCCCAGTTGTATCGTTTGAGATTAATATTACACATATTACACTTACGATCACTTACCAGTCAAGGACTGACACGTGCCGCTGTGTCAGGACATTCCTATATCCAGAACAGTGAGGACCGCGAAGAAGCTGGCACCCCCGACATTGTGGGCTGCATCCGCGCAGGCAAAAGGTTGACAGCACACGGCCCTTTTCGAGACGCCCCTTTGACTTTGGCGAAGCACATTGCTTCACAGACCGTGCGCTTTTGGATTGGAGCGATTTCCCAAACTGTTTTTGTGAAAGCGTGCAGGGACCAAAGCTGCAATATGCCCACCAAGTCTGTGCATAGGCCTGGTTTACCACCTACACACATTGCTGCCAGAGAAGCTCTTCGAGGCAATGTGAAGTGCCGGCAAAAGGAGTTTAAGAGTTTGGAGTGGTGCGCCGTTCACTTGGTTTGAGCCCATTCCGGGGTAAGACAACTGGGCTGCTTGTCGCTCCGGATTCGTGCTTGGAGCTTCTATGATCTTCTATGGACTTGTATGACTTGTAGTTTGCATTGTTGTTTTACACATTTCTTGACCTCTAGTCGTAACGAGCTTTCAGCGCAATGCCGCAAGAACCACATTCAATACAGTCAATGGGCGCACGTGTGCACTTGTCAATCATTACATCCAGATTTGCTGGGCATTGTTGGTGGAACACTTGCAGAATGCACAATGATGTATTAAGGACTTTATGTGCACGGTGTTCAACCTCCCAAACACAATGTTCAACCCGTTTGTGCTGCAAGGAATGAACAGCCCCTTTGTTACATCCTGCGGACGTTTTGGTGCTTAAACCACTATATCAATGTAGGGACAAAGGCAAAGACACAGCTGATGGTTTCGATGCTGAGTGGCTTGGAACTGGTATGCTACATGATTGCACTTGAATCTTGAATAAAATTGAGTTCATAAAAGTTTATTTACTAGGAGCAAGGGCATCGCTACTCGGGGCTCCTGGCATCGCTACTAGGAACAAGGACGCTACTAGGGGCTCCTGGCCTTACTAGGAGCTATGTTCGCTACTAGGAACTTGTCTCGTCAGGTTGAGTATGCAACTTGTTTACGAGTTTCGAGTTGTTCCTCGCAGGCAGAGCTGTCGGGCCTTCAGCGGCTCTTAGAACGATGGTCGTCAAACGAGCGCATCTCGGGAGGATCTAACCCCTTTGACTCGCTATCCGACAAAAGAGAAAAAAAACGGCATTCTTCGTTTCGGAATAGCTTTCTTCATCACCAAGGCATCGAAGTGTTGGGTCAGTCTTCCAGCCGCTCGAGGGCTGCCATTGTCTCATTCATGATCCGCTATGGCAACGCACCAGGCCGGCACATGCTACGAGAGAGGACATAAACTGCAGTAGCAGCAGCAATAGGTGGTGTGAAGGTGGAAGATTTGTGAAGGGTCACCCACCAAAATTCTTCTTGGGAGGGCCGGGAAGCAGAGTTTCTTCTTGTTGTTTGTTCACAGTTTTAGATGGTTATGTGATGGCTTGTTTTAGCTGGCGGGTGCCATAACGGCCCCGCTGTTTTTAGGGTTTTTCATTGGTTTGAGTCCGCATACATACATGCCACCCCCCGGAGACATTTGCGACAATGGTACTTCCTTTATCTATATATAATTATATAGTTAATTATAGTTATATATATATGTTATATGTATGCATGAACATGCATACAAAACACACCTGGGCCTGGGACCTGGCGGGTTGACATGGGGGGTGGGGGGATGGTGTGGGGTTGGGATAATGGCGCTCCTATGGCGTTGCGTTCTTCGTAGGTATATGTTTCAGCCTACGGGTTGAAAACCTAAGATATACGGGGTGGGGTGGGGTTGGGTAATGACGTTCGTGTCAACTTGCACATGCACGCCCTTTCTATTTTCGCCTTGCAGTCGATCAAACGCGAATCACACACAAAAAAAACACCTCTTCGAGAAACCTCTTGAACACAGCATGCAGCATGCCACTGTGATTCCTGTTGAGATGTTACCCAAACAAAGCGACCACCGCGAAGATACCAAAAAAAACACAAATTCCCTGGACAAAACGAAACATGTGACAAAAGTAAGGTAAATTACAAACGAAATCAACATACCGTACCAAAAAACAACACCGAAACGAAACCTGCATTTTGTGCAAATCGCATTTCAAAAAAACATGCAAAAGCAGCGGGGCCGTTGTGGCACCCGTGAGCCTGACCAGCACAAAGACCACAAGAATGGGCCTGGGTGTTTTGAAAAGCCTAGTTGCAAGTTTCATCAAGGTCAAGCAGAACGATGAAAAATTGTAAGCAAAGGTTCTCGGTGAGTGTGTTTAATGTCTGGTTTGTGCATGTGAAGTTGTTTGATTGTTTCAGTCGTTCTACTCTGCAGCCAGAAGCAAAGCCCTGTTTCGCACTTGTCGCTTCGTTTGCATCTCAATGACGTTGTGTCAATGAGCCCATTTGTGACTCCTGTCTTGGTGTTCCTTCACTCCATCAGCCAGTTGAACCAACGGTCTGCCCAACACCAATTTCGGTCAATGTTTTGTGTTCCTGTTCCGGGCAGCATCATCACGTTCTTCATCTTCACAAGAAATGTCATTCACTCGGCAGCGCCACAGCAACAAGAACCTCCAGCTGTAGCAAAGGGCATCGCCGCTAGGAACAAGGACGCTACTAGGGGCTCCTGGCATCGCTACTAGGAGCAAGGGCGCTACTAGGAACACCGCACCGCGCACGGGCCCGTGGGCGTGGAAAGACATAGGTGGAATCGATGATTGACCCCTCCGTCCATGAGGCGGATTGTACTTGCACTACAACTTTGTGGTGGCTTTGTTACTTGGATGTATGGCAGAGGCATGTTGGACCGTTTCTACACTGCAGAGCAAAGTTATGGTGAATTGCCAGTGATGTGTCAAAGTAGGGAGATTGTATGAGACACTCCCGTCTCCGACTCCCAAATAGCAGGTAGGACCTACCTGTTAGGGTCTTTGCTGTAAGATGTCCATCCAAACACGAGGCTAAACGACCTCTTCGGCATCCAGGCACGTGGTGGTTGCGCCTGCGCGGGGCCTTATGGCCAGCAGTTGCTGGGCTTGGATCTACCCAAGTCCAAGGCCTTCGACCAGGCGAGGGAGGACGGAGGCCGATGGCCGGCATCCAAAAGCTCTTTTTGGGGCGAAGAGGTCTTCCTTGCGACGAGATTCTAAATCTACACAAACCATCTCAAACCAAGCTTTTGTATAGCTTGCCGATGCTTGCAGCATTCGTCTAATGGCTGGTTGAGGATACAGGTGATCGGGCAAAAGGGCCAAATGGCTTGTGGATGCAATCCTATCGACGTGCACCAGTGAACTGAGCGCAGTGCTAAGGACAATTAGGTGTTCGAGATACTAATGAAGACTACGTTGATTGCATGTGGATCTTCAAAACTTGCACAAAGCACCTAAGTGAAAGGCTCTCGTCCGTTAATATTCCGGATTGACAGGGCGAGAGAGCGAGGTGAGAAGTCTTGCTCCGACACCTCAGTTTGTTATCCCACTGTGAGGGGATTTGAGATGGGATGATCAGGGGCACAGCCGGGCACAGCAAAGTCGGAATTCGATGTCGGTGATGACACATGTTCTGTGAAAAGGATATTGAGATGGAGGCCATCATTAGTTTCCCTAAAAATCGAACCAAATCGCTTCTAGGTTGGGGCCATTCCTATTAGGTAAGGGTGCGCCGTCATGGTCTGGGCGTTCCATTCCGACAGAGTCGACTCAAACGGCGCTTTGTGAGGCGCTGCTGCATTCTGCACAAGAAGTGCTGAGACCAGGCAGGGAACAGGGAAGTGATGGAGGCCATCGCTAGGTTTGGTGGTTTGGTCGCAAGTGACACGAGGGCTTGCAAGCCCGGATCGACGGCTTTCCCCAGGTTTTGTGCGGGTGGGCGTGCACTTCACCATGTCCACTGAAGAGCTTGAACTTTTGGCTTCTGCTGTGGAAACTTGGACTCGACACGGAGAAGATTGGTTTTAATTACAATTCTATTGAATTATTGTTTCTAATAGCTTCTTGTCACTAACAGTAAGGCCAGGAGTCCCTAGTAGCGTCCTTGCTCCTAGTAGCGATGCCAGGAGCCCCTAGGTGTAATTTGATGTTTTCATGGAGGCGATACGGTTGTGAGAAGACGTTTCAGTTCGTTGAGGACTGGGTCGCCAACAATGGTTGGCGCTTGCTTCCAGCCTACAGCTTTTGCGTGGAGACGGGTGAATGGCATCATCGTCTCAGTACACCACAGCAGGTCGAAGTGGGAACGATGGGGTGAGTCTTGAGGGTCTTGAGTGGTTTGATTCGCTTGAAACAGGTTGAATCAGCGGGGTTCAGTCATATGCGATTTGGATGCTTCAATCAAGTTGGATTTTAGAGGGTTGGATGTTACTTAGGATCTCAGTCATATGCAGCCTACCTAAGAGCGATGGCCGGCATAGCCATGGATGTTGCTTCGCTTGAGGATCGAGAGTGGCTTTCGGCGTTGGCACCACCTGTGCTCCAGACAAGTCCACTGCGAGACTTGGAAAACTCCTTGAAGCACAAGGCCGTTCCGGGCCGTTGCCGGGCCGTTTCCGGGAAATCAGGACCCAGAGACATCCAATGACACCTTTTGATACGTTTACGAAGGCAGTCTCCACAGTGCCATAGGCTCAAAGGATACAAAGCTCAGTCTATATACTGTGTTATATACCTGGCCACTGGCTGTTGTTCACAAATTCGCCTCAGATACAAGAGGCAATCTCCCGGCAATCCAGAAAAGGCAACGCCCAACCCATTTTCGAGAGAGTGCCTTGCACGAAGCGGTGCACAGCTGCTTTGCCAGAGAAGCTGCACAAGTTGGACGGTAGAGGTCTAGTGAGTCTAGTGACAACTAGTGTTCGAAAACGAGTGTTCGTTTTGAGAGCTGAGTAGAGGTTTGTGCCAGGAGGCTTCACCGCCACAAGATTTGCTGGCAGCTGCAGATTTGGCATTGACCACTTCCTTCAAAGGTGCGAAAGGGTAGGCCGCCGTGAAGAGGTGGGCTGGTTCGTAAAGGACTAAGAAGTGGGTACCTATTAGAAACAATAAGCTACTAGGAACAAGTGCATCGCTTCCAGTAACAAGTGCATCGCTACTAGGAACAAAGAAGACAATGCAAAAAGACCGATCGGACGCACGGTAGGCCTCAGGCTTCCTAGTAGCTTAACTGGACGCAGGATGGCAGTCGCAATGTTCATTTGGTTCCTAGATTTTGGGGGAAACTTAAGTTGCCGCCTACTACTTAAAGAGAAGATTGAGTGATTCGGTGGACGCTCGAGGTTCAAGCGTTCTATCCGTTCAAAAGTAGCGGGAGTCTCCGCCGACAGATCTTCATCGCGACGACAATCAGGTGAAAATCCTATCCCGCTCTCATCCACGCGTTGTCCTTTGCTCGATGCGGAGTATGCACACTTGGCAGCTCAGCAGATACGCCGAGTCGTTCCCACCTTACTGCGATCTCAGCCCATGTTCAAGCAGGTCGGGTGCACTGAAACAGTGTCAGGGTGTGTTGGAACTCGGCCATCCCTCGTCCTGGTACTCAGTCCAAGAATGTCCAAGGTAAGCAAGGTGTTTAGGCTCAAAGTGTTTAGACAAGGTGTCTACGCAGAATTATTGGTTTTGTGCTGATGGGGAGTCCTCAAAATTGAACGAGGGGCGGATGACACGATCATGAGCTAGTGAATGTAGTGCTGATGTTGGATCAAGCGTCCAATTCTTTTTGTCTCAATTCTTTTTGTCTCAATTCAAAGGTCGAGATTTGAGATGGGTATACTATGTCCGAGAGATTGTGGTTCCAACGTGGATTCCCAAGCCTAGTTGGTTCATCCATGACCAACGGTTTCTATGTAAATGAGTTGGGAATTGGTTGGAGTACCAGGTTGTGTTTACATCGCGCATGTCCTTTCTGGCATATCATCGATCGAGGCTTGAGCAAGCGATTGCAGAGATTGGTTTCTCAACTTTAACCCAGGTTGGAAAGCCACACCTAAAAAGCCACTTGAAGGCCATCGCTATTAGGTTGGAGGCCATCGCTGGTAGTAGGTTGGAGGCCATCGCTAGTAGGTTGGA